ACCTCCTTCTGCGAGCAAGTTATGCTCGAGAAGAAGATTGTGGAGGGGGACCTGAAAAGGCTTAGAACTCAGGTGAGGCCATCTGTCACCAAAAAAAGAAAGGCTCGGACTCGTTAATAAAAGTCATAGAAATGACAATTAAACTTTAGAGTCGTCACTATCCCACATATGGGCGCTAGAGAGGCCCAGGGGGGGGGGGGTGATGAGATGCTTGACACTTAATCCGCCTCTGCGTTAGGTACGTTGTGCATTTAATGTAGATCGAAATTGCCTTTTACAGCATATCCTTAAATTTAATATCTTAGTAGATATCAGAAATTTTAAATGTGAGGGCAAAGCGGTCGTCACCGCGTCCGACCGCAAACGTCCATCCCGGGTGGCATCCCGGGCCTATAAATATTGCATGTAAAGATGACCTAGTAGTAGTATATAGTTTTATCATAATAGTAGTATAAATTATTACTCCACACAGATACCACATCACATTAGTAGTATTAGTAGTATCTACATTGCACCCGTGCTCTAGTGCTAGTTTATCATAAATGAAAAGTAGCTTGATGATTCCTATTAAACATGACAATGGTGCTAATTCTGTTGTTCGTAAACTCTCTAAACTAAACTAAAAATCACTAAAAATTAGTTTAGTCCTGTCAAACAACGTTTCGTATTCTGACAACGTAGAACTTAACTATATTTAGTTTGACACAACCAAAATTAGTTAAGTTACTCAACTTAGTCCTTTTTTGCTCATTTGTTATTCTGTTGTACTTTCTAAACGTCAAAAATTGACTAAAATTAAAAAAGTCACACTAAAATTAGACGCTAGCTAAATACATCCCGACTAACCTAATAATTAGAGTTTTTAAGTATAAAATTTAAAATTTTAGCGAATTAATTTTTAAAAATGATAAGTGATTACGTGATTATGGTTTTGGTCAGTTCAGCGGAAAGGTATGTGCATAATATTATTCATCATAAATCACAAATAATTATGAGCCTTATCTGAATTATTAAAACAAACATACTTATGTATTATTTTTAGAAACTATCAAGAACGAATACGCTTAGAACGTATGCGAGATAACTCCAATCCGTTTGAGTTGGCAGAGGAAAAATTTCAGAAACTCTGCAAACTCTGAAATCTGCTACTTTTCAATTAGTCAGCGATCTCGATGATCAACGCCTGGATGAAGGCTTCATACCTAAACACCTAAAGGTCTGCTTTATTACATTGAGCACAATATAAATCTACTGTTTCTATCTTGTACCTACTCTTCATATTGAACTCATTTTTCAGGTTTTATCTGCACTTCAATTTTTTGCTCAAGGGAGTTACCAAGCTGCTGTAGGGCAAGACAATTTCATTGCACTTAGCCAACCTTCTGTTAGCAGGTGCATTAAAATAACAGCAGATTTAATAGTGGAGAAGCTTTTACCTAATTGTATAAAATTTCCCATGACTGAGAGTGAAAAACTGATTGCAATGACAGAATAAGTTAACAGCCATATATTATTGTTTTGGTGATAATCATCAATTTCTACATCTTAAGTATCATAAGATCTATGAAATACTTATAGTGTTCACCTTTTCAGATTTCAAGAGCTGTTTAATATGCCTAACACCTTAGGTGCAGTAGATGGGACACATATTTCAATAGCAAAGCCATCTATAAATCACCCTACTGCACCTGGAAATCTTTTCTATAATAGAAAAGGATTCTACAGTATTAACTGTCAGATTGTGAGTATCATACTCTAATATTATACTAAATATACATACATACTCTTTATAACTTCCAACAGCATTCACAAAAGTTTATTATTTTCTAATGCAAAGATTATATAACAACATTAATTTCATCTATTTAATTTAGTCATTTTAGATTTAAAAAAAAACCCATACAAATGTATATGAATCAGGACAGAGTTTTAATTTGAGTTAGGTTTTGCATATTTAACATTAATTTACTTATATTATTTTGTGTAGATTTTAAATACTAATTGTCTTTTAGGTGTGTAGTGCAAAAGGGAAAATTATTGGGCTCAATCCAAATTTTCCTCGCTCAACACATGATGCTGCTATCTGGAGAGCATCAACTATAAATCATTTTTTAAAAAGTAATTTTTTGTCTGGAGAGAGAAACCAATGGCTTTTAGGTAATAAGTTTGTACTCATTTATTGATTGTTTTATTTATTTGTTGGCAGTATATAATATATTTACTTATAACATATACACACATATATATACATGTCTGTACTTAATACATTTTACTGTTCTGTTCTTCATTTCCAGATGATAATCATTATGATGTGGAAATACAAGATGTAAATATTGTGGTTGAGGAAGAAAACCAAGATTTTTTGATAGAGGCAAGACATATTCGGGAAGAATTAATACAAACTCATTTTAATTATTAGTTTTAATATATTGTTTAATTAAAGCTCTGTTTTTTATTATTTATATAATCAACAATCCTCATAAAAATCACTTAAACAAATAATAATTTAAAATACAATAATATAATAATAAAATACATGTAAAAAAATCAACAAAATAAAAACAAAGGGACAAATAAAATAAAATGGATTAGACAAAGTTATCAAACGAGCTATTCTTGCAGGAAGTAGTAGCAGTTTACGAAAAATACAACCATTGCAATAACATAAACCAATAATAAAAGTTGCTACTTTACTATTGGTTAATGTTGTTGCTATGACTTGAATTATGTGTTGAAGTAATTGCTGATGCTAAAATCTCAGCAGCACGCAATGTAGAAGCACTGCTGTCTCTCAAAGCAGCAGCAATCACTTCAGCACTATGTCTAATGGTTTCTTGTAAACTGTTACTGCTTTCTTGCAAAGAACGTAACAGGTTGTCGTAGGCAGGAGGACGTGAAGGCCTAGGCGTAATGCGGCGTCTTGGCACAATCCGACGACGAATTGGGCCGGGTACTGCCGAGACACCGGATATAGGCTGCGGTTGCTCCTGTTCCTCCTGGGGCTCCTGCGGAGACTGCACAGAGGGCAGCAATACTGGTGCAGGTGGCGAGACGCGCGCAAAAGAAGGTGTTATTCCCTAGAATTAAAATAATAACAATGACTTTATTCAATAAGAAGTCTGTATGTGTGTATGTGGCTTAACACCTGTATCATGGCAACAGTGCTCTTCCAGCATAATAACTTACACCCAGACACCAAACAAATGACCATGCTCATCACATTACATTTTTTCTGGGTGGGAATCGAATCCACAACCTCAAGCTTAGCAGTCAGGGCACTAACCACTAGACCAACAGGCCCCGACCAACAGTGTATGTGAGTTCCTCTCTATGTGAATTAGGGAGTGTGAGAGGATGTGTAAAGGTCTTGTAATAAAATAAGTATGTATTGTGTTTCGCTATACAGCATTAGGTGATAGTATGTTTTAAGATTAAACAATATTTTACCACTTCAAGACTGGCAAATCCTTGAATGGAGGCAATCCCAACTACATCTATAATTTTTTGCTCAATATCTGTGAGCTCAGATATAGTTGGTCCTCCTCCTGTTGCCCTTATGGAGTCATTAATTTTGCGCGCCTTAGTCTTAACTTTGGCCACCCATACACTCCAAACCTAAACAAAAATAATTAAACAGGCATAAGTAAAGACGATATAAATAAATAATAAGTTGCTATGGTATACATTTCCCAGCACAAAACCTGTTAGCAGAATGCTAAAATTAGTAGTTTGTAAGGGTGAGAGATGCTTTCTATGCAAATTCTTTGACCGCTGGTGACCGCTTTAACTACTACAGTATAAATTCTATTGAATGTTACTGAGATTGAAGGTTTTTACATTAGGTATCACTGGCTTCGTAAGTTAAATATACGTCAGACGATCTTCACGACTTTAGTATTACAAGAAAGTACAAAACAAAAGATACCGTTTGAATGAGTAAACACACGGGTCTTCTATAAGATACTTACATGCTGCCACTGCTGTACAGTTCTATTACAGCCCAAACTGTTAAGCTCGTTTGATAAATTGGTCTAAAATTCCATGGTACTTGGATCTGCCTGATTGCCTAAAAAAACAAAATTAATGTGATGAAAATACAGTTAAAATTAACATAGTAAAAATGATATTCCTTAGAAACTGAAACACTGAATAATTCTCACCTCTCGCCACTTCTAGGTTGTTATGGAGGCGCTCAACCAGCAGCTCCTGCTGCCTCTTGTTGGCCCTCTTTTTCCTATCGTCCATTACTATTAAATAAAATATATATAATAAAAAAATATATTCTAATTACAATAAAACTATACTGTCATGTCAAATTGACCTGCACAGATTCAGAAATCATAACTTTCGTACATAGGTAACAAATAAGGTTTACCACGGGTTGCCAGTTATGTGAACTAAGTAAAACTGTATTTACTTCGTTATAACTGTAAAATACAACATTTTGTTTACTATCTGATCTATAATATGCATTAATAATCATTTACAGGCATTCTAAAATCCTAAAAATATCGTTTCAAAAGATTTATGAATTCACTCTAAATCTTTCTCTATATCATTCATTCCTAATTTTTAAACAAAGGTAACATTTCCATTTTAATTTTTAGTGATGTCAGATTCAAATTTAATGCTGTCAAAATGAACACCAAATTTAGTTCGACCTAACAACAGAATAGCATTTTGAACATCGCTTGACTAAAATAAGAAAATTTTAGAGAAATTTTAGTTTAGTGATGTCAACAACAGAATTAGCACCATTAGCTTTTGTTTCTATAATTTGATGCTATTTTTTAATTGGATAAAATGATATTTATCCTTAAAACTAAAATATTTATACTTTATGAAAATATATATAAAACTTGTAATTTTTTTAGTAAAATCTAAACTGCCTGTTCTGGATCTGGTTTGCAATCATAGACGAATTTAATATCTGTCGACTGTCACATCTTATCTGGCAATACTGCGGCCATTTGTAACTTGTTACAAAAATATAAATAAACATGGCACCGAAACTGAAATTTGCAGACGGTAAATTATATTACTTACAGTATTTAGTGACACTCATATTTGCATATTATTTATGGATTATCATATACTTTGTTAAACAATGTTATCTTAACACTTGCAGGCGAGAAGGTGTTGTGTTTTCATGGCCCTTTAATATACGAAGCAAAATGTCTTAAAAGTTCAGTAACTAAGGACAAACACGTTCGTTATTTAATTCATTACGCTGGATGGAATAAAAAGTAAGTCCTAAGATCGTTGTCAGTAACTTTTTCTATCCGACCTGTTAACAATAATTTGTATGCATAAATTCCAGTTGGGATGAGTGGGTTCCAGAAAGCCGAGTGCTGAAATACAATGAAGCCAACGTGCAAAGGCAGAAAGAAGTACAGAGGGCACATTCTGCACAGCCAACTAAAACTAAAAAAAGTATGTACCTATATTCTACTGTCATTCCATTATGAATTTATATAACTTCATTAAGTACATAGTCAGGTGGAGTTTTCTTTTTAACATTAAGTTGGAGACGATTTATTCTACAATAAAGAGATATTTACCCGTTTCTACTTCAAAAAGTTCACTCTGAATTCATGCAGTTTATTTAGTCATTGGAACATTAGTCAAAAATCATCATCATAATCTTTGTGGTCCTTGTGGAGACCACAAAGATAGTTATGATGATTGATTTATGAATAACACAAAGAAGGTCGTAAGTCCAACTAGTTATAATGCTATAACTTTGTAAAAGTGCTACAGTACTGGGCTTATGATTGTGACCGTACATTCCATTAAGTACCATTAGTATGTAAGATGATAATGATGGTGTGAAGAAATTCTACAATATTCACACTAATAATCTATTGCAATTCCTTCCGTTTTTTTTTAAATTAAGTAATTTTTTTACAGTGTCAATTGTTTAAAAATATTTTGGGTGACTTTTGAAATTGACTAAATTGGGTTTACTTTAAAATAATTACAGCTCCTGCTAAGGGCCGTAAGTCTGAAGCTGCTGCGAGTGCCACTCCTGCTAGAGAGGAGTCAAGAGCATCTACTCCTGCAGGTATATTTAAATACATACTGATTCTAAATAACCTATATTTGTCGAGTAAACCCTGGACTTTGTAATGTTTCAACTTCATTGTTATGATTATTTAAAATGCCTGGTTGTTAGAAAAAAACTCTTTGCTAGAAACAAGGGCTGTCAATACTATTACTACCATACAAAAAAAAATACTTTGTTATCAACAAATGACAACTGACTGGGAAGAAGCCTCAACTGACTGACTTTTATCATACACAACTTTTTGTGCTTATCTTTCAGTATTGGTAGACCATATTAAGTTACTGTAATTTAAAAGTAGTCCTAAAACATATTGATAAAAAATATCCTTTTGGACTCAGCCCAGTTGTACTGTATTGCTCTGAATTTCTCTGTCTGACTGAAATCAGTAATGAGGAGACATTGCTTAGGTATATATGCATAATTGGATAGGTGCCAATTTTAAATGGCAGTGGGTAGGCCCACATTGTTTTTACTATTAAATTATGCCTCACCTCTTTAAAAACTTTTTGGACTACCAATAAAAATGGTCCTAGACAAATGATGATTTCACTTAAATCTGTGTAAAAAATAATATAATTTAATTTTGAGTGTATGGATGATACTCACAAAATGAAATATGTAATTATTTCAACAAATAATTTAATTTTTTATTAATTACTGTGACCCTACATAATAAGTACATATATATGACACCTTTAAAGACAGTTCTGACAGTTTTGATTTTTTTATAAACAGGCAAGGATGCAGAGTCCACTCCCACCCCGGCTAAGACCACAAAGACTCAGAGCAAAGATACTCCAGCAGATTCAGGCTCTGATCAACCAAAGTGAGTACTTTAACAAAACATCATTATGCAATTCCATGATCACTGCAAATCTAAAGTCCATTCACAATTAAAATTTATTTATGTAGCTCTTATATTTAATCTACTTTGTATACTCTTCTTTGATTACAAGTGCCAAATAGAATTTTGTTATACGTAATTTTCTACTGAAATGTAAAAGAAGAAGAAACAATATTTGTAAATGTAGTTGAAAATCATGTATTCACAGCTACATAAAACGATACGAAACTTTTGTACTATGACAGGTCAAAATATATACACAACCCCATATATAGTTTGACCTCTCATAGTACAAAAGTCTATACAATGACAGTTATACTGTGCCCAGTATAACTTGCACTCGAATAAGTCATACAAAACTATCAAAGTTTGACCACTAGGCAATCTCCAGTTTTATTCATTCTTCCAATAGTATGCTACAATATTAATATTCTGTTGTATGAATTCTTTAGCTCATACACACTTGGTATAAAATAAATGTAATTAATCAAACAATTAGAAGATTGCACTAAAATATTCTAAGAATGTGAAGCATTATTATTTGGTAACATTATTATTAATTTATACTAAACTGTCTATTAATAGGGAAAACTGCTGCCTAATTACTTTAAGCTATATATAAAAAGACAAAAGGTATTTTGAAACGGCGTCCATAGATGTCACTACTAGTCGTGTTAACAGATTAAATGTACAGATTGAATGTGTAAATTAAACATAAGGAACAAAAAAACCATATTATTCTGAGATAAATTGAGGGCAGGCAAAGATTCCATGGGCTCGCCAGTAGCTAATAAATAAATAAGGTTGACAAACTTAGGAGCAAAGGTTTCTTAAATGTTTCAAGGTAATAAACATAAAGAAATTAGATAACATCTTATATTCTTATAACTAAATTTGTTTTATATCCAATATCTTGAGTTTAACTTATCCTGTCATCTTGTCGTTGGGATTATAATTTATATAACAGTTCAGGAAACCATAATCTTACTCGCCCAATAGAGCTACGCTAATTCCTTTTTTCATGTTGTCTTGACTTGACCCTTTAATTTTTACAATGGAAAAGTAATATAGTTTTTTTTCATCTTAATTTAGTAGAATACCTTTTTTTTTTAATCGACTATTCAAATCTTTGCAGGAAAAAGCGTGGCAGACTAGATCTATCCATAGAATCTGAAGAGCAATACTTAGCGAAGGTTGATGTAAAGATTAAAATCCCTGAAGAGTTGAAGGTATGGCTTGTGGACGACTGGGACGTCATTACCAGACAACAGAAACTCGCCATATTGCCAGCTAAGCTCACAGTCGCCCAGATTGTCGACAACTATTTAGCCTTTAAGAAGAGTAGCAAATCTCATAACCAGTCTAAGGAATCAGTATTGAATGACATCACCGAAGGCATAAAAGAATATTTTAATGCTACATTAGGATCTCAACTCTTATACAAGTTTGAAAGACCACAATACAGTGAAATATTGCAAGAATATCCAGATACACCTATGGCCGCAATATATGGGTCCATACATTTATTAAGATTGTTTGCGAAAATGGGACCAATGTTAGCCTACACGGCGCTTGATGAGAAGTCCCTTCAACACGTGCTGACGCATATACAAGACTTCTTAAAATATATGGTGACTAACAGATCAACACTCTTCAATTTGCAAGATTACGGGAACGCTACACCCGAATATCATAGAAAAATACAGTAGTTATTTAGTTTTAAGTTATTGAAAGTCCTAAACATTTATTTGGTTGTTTTATTTGAATCCATTTTATAGTTTTTTTTGGAAATATACTAAAAATATAAAAAAGAAAATAGACTTAATAATCGAATTAACACAAAAAAGCTAATTGATTCAAGGAAACGTGGTATACAAACGTTAATCTTGCAATTCTTAATCATAATTATTTGTTAGTAGTAGACAGTTAGTAGATAGTAATTGCACAGAAAAAACACAGAACCCTTTAGAAGTCATTGATCCTAAGGGTCAGATGCTGTTAACTTTGGTACCAATTTAAAGCCTGATAAAAACGTCCTTACAACACTTCTTTTTCCTTCCATAGCTACAGTTTACCATCAGGCTTGCTGTGCCTATTTGCTTCCCCATCAGTTTTTTTTAAAGCCATCATTAATCAATCTTCGTTTTGGCTACTTTCATAATCTCCAGACAAAATAATTATTTTTATGTTAAGATTTATGGTCTTATGATATATAAAAAACACATTATACGCGCTATAAATCGCACTTTATAATTACTATGTTAAATGCTGTACAAGACCGGTAGCAGGCGACATGTTGACCGAGTTGTGACTCACGCGCAGAGAAACTTGCTCAGGCCTAACATGGCTGTCATTGCCAATATCGATTGTTTAATAGTATCGTTGCATTAAAACTACAATATAAAATTCAATTGTAATTCTATATTTTAAACATATTATTATGTACTACTAAAATAACCCTTGAATGTAATTAAGAAAATTATTGGAATTTATCATACATTTTGGGAATCTATTAAATCTTGTATTACTATTTACTGAATACATTTTCTGATTTGTTTAATTTTATAAAAGCAATACTTTGGTATTTATTCTGAATATTAATTATCGTTTTTTATTGTTCCGTAGTCGTAACAGGAAATTCTTACACTTCCACAATTTTCTACAAATATAGATAGATAGATAATACTTTATTTGTACACCAGGGTTTTACACACATTATAAAGTAATTAAACGTACAACAAATGTAATGTACAAAGGGCGGCCTTATCGCTTAGAGCAATTTCTTTTCAACCTTTGGATGGATTCATTATGAACTGGTGATAGTTATATGAAATTCTAGTAATACATAAGATCTTATAGAAATATTTATATTTATCATAAACAAATTTTATAGTATACCTACAGGCTGTCCCGAAATTGAACGCCCAACGGTGAGGGGAAAGGTAGGTGAGAGCCTTACCTCTCTGGTGAAAAAAAAACAACTCATTTTTTTAATATTGAACATTTTATTGAAAATCGGTGAAAAATAAGTTTAAGTTATCAGACCTTAGACTACATTTTGGCGATGGCGAGTGGGCGTGAATAGGTATTTTCTTTTTGTATCGGTAGCGAGAGTAGTCACTCTGTCGATTATGAATGATGTTTTATTGTTCCACTTTGAAACTTATACACGTTTACACATAGTTTGTTGTTGCTAAAATATTCTGGCCTTGAAGAAAATTTGTGTTCGGTATTAGCATCTGTTGCTTAACTAGTCTAGAAACCTGTATTTCAGCTAACAACTCCTCCACCTTGATCTCTGCGCACACTTACTACGAAAAAGTATCATAATTTTCTTAAACTAATTACAATTATTAAATTTAATTTTTTTTTACTTAATTACATTTATTATTTTTACACGCTTTATATTAGCTTCACTTGTATGTTTGCTTGTATGTTGTATGTTTGTAACTTACTCCTTTGGGCGTGATTTTGACTAACTTTAAACGGTCAGAATTCGTTCAAACTTTGTAGATATATCGAGGACCGATGACAATACACTAATTTAAAAAAAAAAGCGCGGTGTTTTTACTATTGACAACAGGCACCCAACACTTTTTTTCAAATTTATTTTCTATTTTTTAGTTTGGTTTTCTATAGAAAGCGTGTTTTTTAGTTTTTTATACTATATTTTTTGTACGTTTAGTTCATACGCTCGTAACAAAGTGTAATTTAATTTTTTGTACATGAACCTGCTATCTTAAGTGTACGGGTACTTATAAGTCTTATAACGGGCGCAGCCTTCCGCCATCTTTAACGCGGCATTACTAGGATAATTGACCTCTACCACTGCGCTTTTAACGAAGCCTTCAAGAAAATAGAGCGTACCTCAAAGGCCTACATAGCCATTTCCAAATATTTAATTGAGCCCAAAACATGTTTAGTTACTTTTTGAAACTCAAAGGCGGCAAAGCACCCCAGAGTCTGAGGAAGAGGAGGTGTTACCGGAGCCACTCTCACTCGGTGGAAAGCAACGAAAGATTTACTTAACACCGGTTTTCTGTGAGGCCGTGGTATCACTCTGGACGAGCCGGCCCATATGCAACGAAGCATGGCTCTCCCACGGCAGAAATCAATAATGTATAATATATTCATCTGAACATAACATTCATCTGTACATTTCAAATATATTTTGTAAAAAATATTTGTTGAAGATACAGCGATGCCGTTGATAACTGTTGAGAATCCTTTCAGATAGTCGATAGTAGATATTCGAGTAAAAATAAACAGGTAATCATGACGAAGTATTAGTCATCAGATGAGGGTAGGTAACTCTATGACCATTTCAGTATCATAATACTAAATTAGCTATATAAAGTGCTGCAAGGCTTTAGAACATATGGCTGGAAGAATGTATAATGTATTGCAATCGACAATGTTCTCAACTTTACCATGTGGTGTAATGACACAAGATATACTTATCCTGTTTTTTTTACATCAATAATACAATAGGTCAAATCTAATAAAAAAGGCAAGGATTGCAGTTATTAGAAAGTGTTTGCAGTTGGAATACTCGGATTTTGGTTAAAAGATTTACAAATAAAGTTATTACAGAGAAGCTCGAATGACTTGATCAATTTCTATAGATAAATATACCTGCCTATAAATATAATACAAATTCCAACATGTAAAAGAATTGACTGCACGGATGGCGTAGTGGTTTAAGCAGTCGCCACGCCGCTTCCTATTACGCCGAGTGTTGTGGGTTCAAACCCCACATGGGACAACACTTTGTGTGATCCACAAATTGTTGTTCTGAGTCTGGGTATACTTTGTGTCCGTTTCATGTATGTTTGTAAAGTCCCCCGCGACACAGGATTTATTCCTAGTGCGGGAGTTGTCTCTTTAAAAAAAATAAAATAAGATAGTTACCGAAGAATAGGTAGTAAAAATTAAAGAAAAATACATTTCTGCTCCAGTTTAGGCAGTAGAATCATCATATTGGCGAATGGACTGCATCCCGTCAGAGAGGACTCATTGAAACGAAATCTGTATAATTATGAAAAAGGGGAAGAAAATTATTTGTACATTTGTAAACACATGGCGCTCGAATGCACATCCTATTTGAAATATTTAATTTTTAAATGTAAAAACCAGTGCGTCCTACCCGTAATGGCATACGGAGCCGAGACATGGACACTCACCGTAGGACTGGTCCACAAGTTCACGATGCTGGGTGTTTCTCTGGTCTAGAGTCAGTACGCTAAAGTGGAAGTGGGCTGGTTATGTCTCCAGGCGGACTTATAGTAGAGAACATCCGGGTTCCCACACAGGAGGGGTCATCTATAAGCCGTATATGGCCCGAGGTACGTCGGGGTACCAGGGCTTTCCTTTCTAGGGTATCCGAGGGGAGTTCCGCAAGAAGTCTCGGGCACTAGCATGTAATTACATAAAATTAAAGGAGTACAGCAGTACATGGTACAAACGTCTATACAATGATAGTTCAAGTTATACTTTGATGTTATTACGCTAATGACATCAAAAAACATTCAAAACAGTTTACAGAAACTTTGTTGTAAGTAGTCCTATTTTAATAGTAGGTATTTTTCAATGTCATGAAGGTGTCTTAAAATGATGAAATACAAATCTCATGTCAAAGTAGGCATAATAAAGTTTTTACAAAAAAGTCCTAATAACTTGGACTGTGTTTGATCGAATTGCTGCAAAATACACTATAATTCCTAATAAACATACTGCTACTATATAGTAGGTATATCAATACCGACCACAGCAACACTTTAGTTTTTTACTATTTAGCAAATAGGCAATTACTTTACAAATTGTTAGTATCCGGTATTAATCAGTCTTTACATAAAGTTAACATGTTACTTGTAAAACTACGTAAATTATATAATTATTTAACATACAAGACTGCCTATAGGCTGGTGCTTGTAAAAACGTAATCAGGGTCTGCGAGTGCCATAAATGGTAGAAAATATGTTGTCCGTTCGCAACACGAGGACTCCGCGGTCGGCGACGCCATGGCGACAACTACGCCATTAATTGTCGCGATTGTGCATTATCCAGTGTACATTTATATCGTTTTCTGTAAAGATTGATAACGTCTGGACATTTTATAATTATTAAAGTCCATTTTGTAGCCAGACTACGAATAATTGTGGATGTGGCCGATTTTTTTTGTTACTTATTTTATTTTTAGTTTTTGTTTTTTGTTGTTTTTTATTCTTGGTTATTTAACGTTTTAGTATTGGAATGCAACGTCATGCAGAAATGCAAATCAAGGGAACCGTAAATTAATTAGAGTGCTAACTAACTAACACATAAAGAAATCATGATTTCTTATTAGGGAGTAATTTGTTTTTCTTATACATGCATATCTATGCTTGTGTACAGTGCCTACGAGATCGACTATTGGGTATGAATCCCGACTTCCTTTCTAGGGTATATCTGGTTCCCCGCCTATTAGTACTCGAGACGGCGAGCGGTTTTCGGTTCGAGTCCGACATGCCACCGATAGGTGGTATCCGAGGGAATTTCCGCACGGAAAAAAAAAAGGGGTATGAATCCCGATAATAATACTTAACATTTGATTTTAAGAGTTACTTGACAATAAATTAAAAATCTAAATGCAGGAGAAAGTTTCTATTTTCTCCTGCATTTCATCTTAAAAATACGAGTACCTTAAAATGATACGGCGTTAGCTGTGTAC